TGCGAAATATAAAACACATTGTATCATTTGCAACGTGAAGGCCAATCTGCTTTGCTTACGTACACTCCATCATGAGTTATGGTATAATCTTCTGGGGTGGCTCCTCACATGCCAGGAAAGTGTTTATCTTGCAAAAGAAAATTATTAGAATCGTAATGAACACTAAACCTAGAGATTCTTGCAGGGATATTTTCAAGAAACTGGAAATTATGACATTATATTCTCAGTATATATACTCACTACTTTTATGTGTAATTAATAATAAACATTTATTTAACTTTAATAATGAGATTCATGAATATACAACTAGATCCCAAGGTAATTTACATGTACCTAGTGTGAACACTTCAAAATTGAATAAAGGAGCCTATATAACAGGTATTAAAGTGTTCAGTCATCTTCCACAATCAATAAAGAGTTTGGTCCGTGATGAGAAAAGCTTTAAATTTACATCAAGGAAGTTTTTATGTCGTCATTCTTTTTACTCTATAAACGAATACTTTCAGTATAAAGAAGGCAGAGGTTTGTAATCCAGATATTATCTTGAATTGTTTGTTAGGTTGACTTTTACCATTTACTAGGAAGAGAAATGTAAAGGGTCTTACGGAACCGACTCTCTTCAATAAGACAATCCAGCTCTCCTGTGATGTCAAGTACCTTGGTCTAGTTTTAGACAAGGGACTGACATGGGAAAAGCAGCTGGACAAAGTCATTAAATAAAGCTTTTTGGACATGGAGAAGCATGTTTGGTAAAACTTGGGGACTGTAGCCACATGTTGTACATTGGATATACACTGCGGTTGTGAGACCCATAATTACTTATGGTGTCACAGTATGGTGGCCCAGAGTTAAATTCAAGACAAGCAAGACAGAACTTGGCAAATTGCAAAGGTTGGCTTGCTTAGGTATAACAGGAGCATTTTGAACATCTCCAACAGCTGCACTGGTGATACTTCTTGGACTCCCTCCACTGCATATACAGTTGGATGCAGAGGCCAGGGCAGGAATTTACCATCTCCAGTGCAGTGCACAATGGAAACCTAGATCTGATGGTTTCGGCCATGCAGACATGACTCAGGACATGTTAAAAGAACCCATATTACAAATGGGGTCTGGCAAAATGATACTGAGACATGTATATGAAAAACCCTTCATGGTCAGATTTCCTGACAGGAGTGAATGGGAAGACGGGTTTCAGCCCGACAGAAAAGGGGGACTGATCTGGTATACAGATGGTTCCAAGACAAATAAGGGCACTGGAGCTGGTGTGTACTGCCAAGGCACAAGGAGGAAACTTAGTTTCCGCCTTGGGCGATACACGACAGTATTCCAGGCAGAAGTATATGCCATTAAAGCATGTATTATGGAGAAATTAGATAGGAACTATATAAATAGGAACATCTACATTCTATCTGACAGCCAAGCTGCACTTAAAGCGCTTGACAAACACCAGATCAATTCAAAATTGGTCTGGGATTGCCACCAAACCCTCATGGAACTGGCCAAACATAACGGTACAACTGATATGGGTGCTGGGGCATAAGGGTATTGCTGGAAATGAAGCAGCAGACCAATTAGCTAAAATTGGAGCTGAACATCCGTTCATAGGACCTGGACCAGCCTGTGGCATTTCTCTAGGAGTTACCAAACAGGCAATCAGGGACTGGACTAACATGAAACACAAGGAATACTGGAAATCCTTAACTGGACTCAGGCAAGCAAAGGGACTCATACGATGACCTTCTGCTAAAAGAGTGAAGGAACTGTTGAAGCTCAACAGGAACCAGCTATGATGGGTGGTAGGACTACTTACAGGACACTGTCACCTCAAAGGACACCTGCTCAAACTGGGACTGAGTGATAGTCCCACCTGTGAGAGGTGTCAGATAGAAAATGAAACAGCCACTTGAGTCAGTACTTTATGGAACCAGGTGACTATTTTGACACCCCCACGTCCAAAATCCTGCGCTTCATCCGAAGCACGGGGTTGCTGAGGGAATAATTAAAAAAGGGGAGGCACAATAGACCTAAGGTCACGGTGCAAGGGCTGAGAAGGCCTACCCCTTATATATTCTATTCTATTCTATTCTAGGTTGACTCTACACATGATGTATTACCCACTGACTAGTCACTCGGCATTTAAGGGTATAAATTTTATTGTAGTATGGTATTGTAACAGACCATCTCTTTTAAATAACATATGACTGTATACAATTAAGATGGTCATGAATGATTTAGTCACAGCTCATTTCCTTTTATCCTGTAGAGGAATATGTTATAAATAGTTCTCAAAATTTTAGATTCTTGCTATGAAATGACTGATTGTATATACTGAATTTTTATTGTATATTCTAATTTTTAAATCCTGATGAAATGTACTATATTTGGACTGTTAAATTAAGTATTTGTAGTTATGTGATCAAAGTAATTGCATCAAACTCCTACATTATGAATAGGTCTTTTGTATTGATTTATGATGGTGACAACGATAATCATATATCTGCATAAATTTGATCATATTTGAATATTTTATGTACAAATTTTGTATTGTGACTGTATTGCATGTTGATGGGTTCATTGTTTTTATGTATGTGTTTCTGTATTTTGACATGTTATATATCCTATGGCATGCGTGACCTGAAAAGGATCTATGGAATTTAAAATAAAAGAAAAGTGAAAGTCGGTATAGTTAACTTGCCGACTACAGTCCACGGAGTTTGTTCTTTTGTTTTTTCGCCTTATACAGTACAATTATCAGCCATATCCCCAATCATATTATTGCTTTTTTTATAATTTTTATCCTGAAACCATTTTGATTCAAACTTTGTGGATATGATTACAATCTGTATCACCACACTAGATTTCACACAGAGTGATTCAGTAGTTAATTGCCTAAGGTAAAGTTATCCTTGTACTTAATTATCACACCATGAAGACATATGAAGTAGTGGAGTGTACATAGTTCCATGCATTCTTGGCACTGAATGGAAATGGCCAACTCTCTGGAATTTTTTTTTTTTTTCAAAGAACAGTAAGCATAAAATTTAATAACTATTAATGTTCTATCTAAATTGAAATTTATGCCATGTCAATAAGATTTGACTATTCCTGTGCTTTCCACTGAAAGGGAAGGAAAATTAAATATCAGTGACAAAGAATAGGCTGATGGAACTCACATCTTAAACCTCAGATCTAAATTATATTTTATCAGGTTACCAGGAGCTGCACCTAATAGAACAAATCAGACTTAATAATGACCTTGCATGTAACTTTATCTCAGTAACAAGCTCAGTTTTTATAATGGTTATAGCAGTGGACTTTCTGCTAAGGATGTGAGAATTTCTGTATGAAAATTAAACCAAAAACTGTTGACATTTTATGACATCAGGACACTGTCTGTGCTTTCACATTAGTGGACTGAGGTTACATTTGAGACATCGGTACAAAGCTGAAGAATGACAGTGGTCCATAGACTTGTTCAAAGTGAGCTTAAAGGCAAAATGGGAACAAAGGGAATTTCTGGGTCCAAAAACATAAAAATTAAAATTTACAGAACTATAATTTTGCCTGTGGTTCTGTACTGGTGTGAAACTTGGTCTCTGACATTAAGGGAGGAACACAGACTGAGTGTGTTTGAGAACAGGGTGTTGAGGAGAATATTTGAACCAAAGAGAGATGAAATGACAGGAGGTTGAAGAAAACTGCACAGATAAGAGCTTCATAATTTGTACTCTTCTCCGAGTATAATTAGAATGATCAAGTCAAGGAGGATGGGGTGGGCAGGGCATGTAGCACGAATGAGGGCATAGGTAGGTGGACAGTATTGTGACGTGTTGCGCTATGCAGGACACCGCTCCCTCTGCCAGCGGTGACGTGGCCAAGGGATGCCGCGGTTGCTATGCAGCCGTAAACAACTCCCGGCAGTGCTGCCGAGCAACGCCTTTGTAAACACGGCAGGGAGTCCGTGCAGCGACTGTTCGTAGGCAGTCAGTAAACACGACGTTACGCAACAGTGATGCCTATTACTTAACTTTTTTCTGTGTTTTCCGTAACGGGGCTAAATAAGGAGCAGTGAACACAATTCAACAGTGAGTTACGAGTTAGCCAGACAGTCACTCAAATCTTACACAGTCAGTTGTAGTCTAGCATTTGCAGCCTAGTTTTTGTGATACTGCCGATGGCAGTAATTGTGAGATTGTAAACTGTGTGATTGTATGAGTGAGTGTGGAATAAAATTCGTTATATCCGATACGGTGTCAAGTTATTTGTCGCGTTATACACCCAACACATGACAATATTATAATTCATCTTGGAGGGATGGGGTGGTATGGATTGGATTGATCTGGCTCAGGATAGGAACCAGTGGAAGGCTCTTGTGAACACGGTAATGAACCTTCGGGTTCCATAAAATGCTTGCAGAATTGGCGGCTCCTCCAGAAGGGCTCAGCTCTGTGAGTAAGTAAGTGTCTTTTGTACGAAGAGCAATACCCACACATCATATTTGAAATAATGTTTCTAAGTCATAAATTACAAACATGACCACTGGTGTGAAACTGAAGGTTGCATTCAACAAATTAAATGTAAATAGAATGTATATTTATTAAGTTTTTCACAATAATAATAGTAATATATGTGTAGGACTAGAAATCTGCACAGTGGAAAAGTGGGCTTTATGAATTCTGCTTGGAACTTGTTTATCGTCATGGTTATTAGTTCCATAAGGAACTTCATTTGGTAAGTAACTTTCATCTGAAAGTGTAATACTGATTATCTGATACAAATTGAAATCACATACCTTCAGATGAAAACATTGCTAATGTTGTGAAACATTACAGTTTGGAACATTAAGTAACAGTATTTCCTAGGCGGCAGAATTCAGGGTACCAATTTCTTGAAATTTGTCTCAAAATAGTTTCTTCTTCTTCTTCTTCTTCTTCTTCTTTGCTGGAACTCTAGAGGTAACGGAATTATTATTGTAACCCAAACTCCTGTGTTTGCAGGTACAAGCATGATGAAGATGGTTTCTTCCGGCTGCAGACAGTGCGCTATGAGAGCTTAGAAGTGACACAGGAGATGATGCAGTCACAGTCGGGAGCTCCCCAGCCACTGTGTAGCAGTAGTCACTACAACCTGCATCAAACAAGTGGCAGGAGTGAAGTTGAGTTCACAGTGTCAGAGGAGGAAGATGACCCCGACAGCCAGGAAGAAGAAGGGGGCAAGATTGTCATCTCATTTACAGAAGTGGATGACAGTGGCAATGTTGTGTGCAGTAAGGTGATGGAAACTGATGAGGTGCCTGTTTTGCCTCCAGGAGAAGTCACTGTCATTGAAGATGCAAGTAAGATGAATTGAACTGATAACCCTTCAATGTGGTGGCATTTAAATCCCCAGTGATTGCTATACTGTGGTAGGATTTTCTGCCAGGGATTTAAATTTCTGCTTTAGCCCTGTGTGGTCCTATGTTGGACTGAGTCTGCCACTGAAAATTCTTAATTCTGTTCCTACATTGGATTGAGTCTACCACATGTTTTACGAATAATCTGGAGTCAATCTGAGGGAGGCAAACAGTGTCAGTATATCATTCAGACCTTCATCTGTGCAGTGGTGTTAACCACTTATCCCTGGTAATACTTTTGTAAACTTTATAATACATTTTTCAAAGTGTGTAAATATTTTTTTTCTCACTAGTTAAGATCCCAGTGCTATCCGTCAATGTCCATGTGTTGAACAGCAAACAAATCCACGAACAATTGCATGACAACTCAGATTTTTTAGTGAAATTAGTCAGAATGCAGGTATTGGTATGTTCACATGTTTAGTGACTAGGCACGAAGTGTGAATTGTTAATTGAATATATTGGACTCTTGAAACTCATAACTGATGTAATAATACCAGTTCACATATCTACACAGTCTAAAATTAACTCTGGCACACACTACGCTTTCTCAGTCTGCTGTTTCTTTGCCATTTGTAGTTTGGTAATTGCTCCAAGTGCCATAGATTCCTCAGCTTCAGAGTTTATGTCCTTACTACCTGATAACTGTCTCACAACTGATGCATGATGGTAACTCTTTTAAGTGTTTCTTCACCTTCTCAACATCTCAAAACTCCGGTTAGGTTTCCGGTATGTAGCCTAGGGGTGGACCCCACAGAAAACCCTGCCTCCAACAGTTCTTCTGTTGTTGCATGTGTAACTGTTGCTGTGATCCCATGATGGTTACCGACCGTTGCATAGCAGTGCCCTTTAGTGCCAGGCTCCGTATCTGGCACGCCAGCAGCTTCTGTCACATGTCACTGGGCTCCAGGCTCCATACCTGGCACGCACACTTATTGCAGCTCTTAAGTTTCAGTTCGTATTTTGAACTGTTGTTTTTTCATGTAAAGTAACTCTTTTGGTAAAGAAATTAAAGAGGAAATTTCAGGCTATCATTTCGTATATTCGTTGTCCCACTTTGAACTTGCTGCGGGAGTTGTAATAAATTTGAATTCTTGAAGACGTTTTTTATTTCAACACTTGGTGCGCTTGTTACCATACAAACCTCTATCTGCCTAGGGAAATTCTTATGAACTAAATACGTTAGATCAATACTGTGTGCTGTCCAGCAGCTGATCAAATGAAAAGTCGATTCTTTTAAGGTTTTTCTGATCAGTGCTGCTTCAACATTGGTATTTGTAACAACGAGAAGACACGTAGAGAATCTATGACTTTGAGACGCGATGTTGACTGTAAGAAGTGTGTTATGAATGCTACTGTAGCAAATGATAAACAGTTCACTGTATGAATGGTACTACTGTAATTCCCCTTTGTTCTATAAATATGCCTCATGCAGTCTGGTTAGCCAAGGCCAGCCACAAGGAATGAAGTGGCCAGCTGTATTGGTGTCTTGCCTAGTGGAGAATATATTTACTTCAGACCGAATCAGAACAAAGTTTTATCAGATTCGGAATTAGACACTGAAAATGGATGTCTGTGTTTTTCTCGATTCTGTCATTTCGAGAATCAAGAAAAGCACAAACATCCATTGGGAGAATATGCAAAACTATAAAGGACAAAAAGAAAATTTCTGAATGTGATGATAATATGTAGGAATAACACAAGGAAAAGGCTAGATCAATTGTCAGTCAGAATTCAGTTAATTGAGGGACTCTCTGTGAAATATGCTAATGCTGTAGAACACAAAGTGCCGAGTCGACATTCGTCAGACAAAACAGTGCCCGTCTGAGAGAAAGAAATTTTATAAGCAAAATTCCACCAACTGCGAAGAAATCAAAACCACAGAAGTGGCTTGTTGTATGTCAAAAACTGTGTACTGGTGTGATGCGTGTGATGTGGGACCCTGTGTGGAATGCTTTCATGACTAACACACCCAGCTGACCTTCTAAGGTAATATGATACTATCATTCATAATTTTAATAGGCTTACTGTGCCAAAAAAAAATAATTTTAATGGATCCAGAGTGAATAGAAAGGGACCATTCACTACACACCTCATTAGCAATGATACAGTCCATGAAAAGTATTTCATGCAATCAGTATTGAAACAGTAGGAACTGTGATCCCTGCTGGCATATTTTTGTCGTACTTAGCAAAGCTTCTTCCATTATATGCAAGTTATAAAGAAAAACAAACCAGTTCATAATAGTAGCTGAATTTACATAGCATGGTGGTATTTAACCTTTAAGTGATGGCCCTTTAAATTCGTAACGGCAGCGGGATGGATTTGATTTAAATACCCGCAATTTTAAAGCAGTAAAAACTGTAATCATTTCCTAAAATTGCTGTGATTTCTACAATTTTTGTGATAAATGAACCAAATAAACGTTGTTTTTTTCTAGAAAGAATATAGAATCAGATATTGTAATTTAGAGACTTTATAAAATGTGTAAAAATTTTTAGACTGATTCCAAGTATAAAATTCCCAAATTTGTCGTCTGCCTACAAGAATTCATACAGTTCTTGGAAGCAAGAACGCTCTATGTAAATGTGGCAACACAGCGGATGGTTATGAAGATGATTATGTTTAGTCTCACATGTCTCGAAGCATATACACGTACCTTCTTTGGTATGCAGAGATGTGGGCCTGTATATCTCCGTTTATAAGAACATTGATTGTTTATACACAACAATTTCTCTGTACTGACCAGGCTCGGTTAGTTTATCACAACTCTCAAGGCCAAGCACAGCCAAGCAGTGTCATAGAGCTTNATCTGAAGAAAGCAGTCTTCTGGGATTTGGCACCGTGTATATGTGGTGTTAACCGACGTTTCGGAGGAACGTATCACCTCCATCTTCAGGGTAGAAGAAAAAGTAGAAGAATCTTAAATCAAATCTTACATAGTTATAGCATCTGTCATCGAACCTGGAAATGGACAAATAAACTATTTTTCCATCTCCTGGATCTGAACAGTTACATCCTGTTGTCACACAGAGAATTTCGTCTCGCTCTTGTGCGGAACATGCTGGAAGGGGTCCACCTCGCCATCAATGGCCCAGGGGTCGAACCCCTGCCGTTTTATCGGAGATATCTCGATTATAGGAGGCCAAACCACATCACTGGCCGACTTCCTCTACTTCGCAATTGAGGTGTCGTGTGTGCTTTTCGCGTGGGAAATGAAGAACTGTCTAGACAAAGTGCGTGAAGTGCGACGTCAGACCCTGGATTTCCGGATGTTTCCAAGATTTCCACGCGAAGCCAACTTCCGTTAGACGACACAGGTGGGAAGAGAGACAACTAACAAAGCTGGTGACCAAAAATCATGTAAGTAGAAAAAGAATTTATAACTTAAAATTATATTTTAAAAAGCCAGCCGCACACGTGGAATGCACGACGACAAATGGCGTCATTTGTTCCCTTGACTTTATTTTCATGACGCCATATGGTGTCGCTCGGCTCTTAAAGGTTAAATGGACCAGCAAAGAGCAATAGTGGTATTTAAATGGAATGACAAATAGTTTAGGTGCTACATTTTCTCAGAAAGGTATAACTTCCCTAATAATTGATGGCTTATAATGAAACTATCACAATATTCATTATACACTGCACTTTTTTAAATTAAATATATTTTACCTTAAAAATTGAGCTTTATGTGGTATGTCTTGAATCAGCCCTTCAACACAGACCAACCTCACAATCATGGCTGCAGAACACTGGCGCCTTCCTCTGGTTGTTCTTATAACATAGCACACACTTCTTTATTGTTTTTGACTTCTTTCAGTTAGAGAAATCCTCTTTGGGAAATGTCTTTCAACAAAACTAGACACTGTATTGTCTGTGTAATGTTGCCCTGGTGCTTTTCTTTCAGCATCACCTGCATATTGAACTATATCCATTCTGTACCTCAGGTGGTAATTTTGTTTTTCTTGTGAATCTTCTCTGCAGATAGTAGTGGAATTGAGAATTATAGCATTGAGTAATTTTTTGAACATTTTCATGTACCATTATATCGCCTTCTTTCTTTTGAGGTGGCAAGGGTGAAGGACTTGATCTTGCAGATCAACTCCTGTCATACTTTGTTATATGAGTCTAGTAGGTGTTTCTTTTTCTTCTTGTCATGTTTTCACCATCCTTATTCGTCACCATGATATGTTGAGATCATGATGACATTTTTCTTATCACTCGCATTTCAGCACAGACGCTGGACCAGAACGCTTTGCTATAATTTTCTCTTTCACTGTTTTTGTCACGTCTTCCCTGTTTCTACAGAGTGCCAACACAGTTTTCATATATTCCAGTTCTTTAGCCAGTGCCGGTGCACTGTAGAAGTTGTTCATCCACAGTGTATGCTCTTTATCAAGCAATGGATTCACAGGAGACAGCACAGCAGTTGCTGTTTTGCTTCTTTCCTCTGAAATCAGTGCTGACTGGAATGTCATGCCTCTTTCAGTATAAGTTATGAAGGACCAAAGGTTGCCTGAGCTGGATTTACAAAGCTCATAATACTTGAAATTTCAGTTATTTTAATTTTTTTTATTACTTAAATAGCAATCAGAATTACAGTATTCTATAAGCTATTGTGATAACATTGGGCTACTAAGCCCACCTATGGCAGGATGAGGATCCTTCCACCAAAGGAGCCTCTGTTTTTCACTTGAGGTCAGTTGGAAGAAGTCTTTTGAGTCGTCTGTTTTTGGGTTCTTACAGTTCAATGATTGATGTGCATCTCTAGTCAATCATAGTGTTTGCTGCTACGCTCTTGGATTACATCAGAGATGACTGAGATGCCAATGTCATGGTGAAGAGTGTCGTTTGATACATACTGTGGTGCATCTGTCATTCCTCGAAGTATTTTGGACTGGGATCTTTGGATGACGGTGATACTCGACTTACTGGCACAGCCCCATAGGTCCATATGGGCTTTATCACAGTATTATAAATCAGGATTTTGTTTTCCAGGTTCAAATGGGATTTTCTTCCTAATAGCCAGTTTAACTCTAATTTTCGCATCGATGTGTTTCCTCTTTTTGACTATGTGTTCTTTCCAATTGAGTGTTTTATCCAAGTGTATTCCCAGAGAGCACACTGATGATGATTCCGGTATGATTTCATTGTTGATGGACACTGGAGGACACAGTCCCTTTTTTAAAGCAAAAGTTATTTGCATATATTTAGATTCATTTATTTTAATTTTCCAATTTTTGGTCCACTGTTCTAGGAGATGTAGGTGGTGTTGCAGGTGCTCTGAAGCAGTTTCTGGGTGTTCATGGCTGGATAATATTACTGTTATCTGCGGAAGTCTCAATTATCGTATCAGCTGTCATCGATATGTCTGATGTATATAGTAAATAGAGTACTGGGCCCAATACACTACCCTGAGGTACGCCGGACTTTACTGGAAAGACATTTGAAATTTCACCATTGACTTTGGATCTGAACTGTCGGCCATTTAGGTAGGACCTGATCAGCTTGAAATATATCGGGAGAGTGTGCTTATTTTATAAAAGAGACCATCGTGCCAGATTTTATCAAAAGCCTGGCTTATGTCCAGAAAGACTGAAGGACAAAATTTTTTGTCTTCAAACGATTTGTTGATTGTATGGACAATTCTGTGGCATTGTTGAATTGTTGAATGAGAATGTCAGAAACCAAATTGGTGGTGTGAGATTTCATCTAAGGAGGGACTTATTCTATGGAGTATTAGTTTTTCGAGAAGCTTGGATACAGTGGAAAGTAGGCTAATGGGCATGTATGAGGTAAGGTGATTTGGGTTTTTACCAGGCTTCAACACTAGGATTATTTCTACAACTTCGAGACTCTGGGGCACGAGTGGAGTCTCAAAACAGCATTGAATAAGTGGGCTAACATGACTATTCCCTTCTTTGGGAGTTCTTTCAGCATTTTCGCGCTAATTTCATCACTACCAGGCACTCTTTTGTTATTTAGATAGGAGATTTCTTTCTTGATTTCCTTCGGTGTAAGTACTGTTTCAGGCTCATCCATTACTTGGGCCTGGTCTAGGAAATCTATTATTTCCTGGTTGTTTATGTTGTCATTGGGTGTAAAACCTTCAGCTAAGTGCTCAGCCAACAAAGCATCTTTCTCTTTGTTGCTTCTTGCCCACAGTCCTGGAGTGGAGTTTGCTTTCTAATCAGGGGGGTTAGCTGACAAAGGCTTTGAAGCTGGCTTAAGTGGTTGCCATATAGAACTATTGTGCCTGTTGAGACTTGTGACATAATCATAGAGTGAGGCATTTTGTGCTTCTTGTAACTTTTTTTTAGTCTATTGGCTAGGTGATTGTAGTTGTTTTGTCTTCTGGATAGTGGCTATGCTGCCATTTCCTCCTGGCTTTCCTCTTTTCTCTTGTTAGTTGTTTGATTTCAAACAGGATATTTTTAGTTTCGTGCTTGGTGTTTGGGAGGGGCGTGGCTTGTTTTACAGCTTCTTGTAGAGTCAAAATTAATTTTTCTGATTCTCTCTCTAACACTTCAGGTGTCTTTAAACTGATTTTTAGGTGTATCTTTTCATCTATTATGTTTTTGTATGTTTGCCAATCGGTTTTTTATTAAGTAGTCTAGATGCTTTTTTAATATTTATTACTGTAGTACTGATTGTTCCAGTTACTGGAGTATGATCTGATGATAGGTCATAATTAGAGTGTACCTCCATATATGATTTGGATATGCTTCCAGAGACAAAAAATCAAGTAGGTCAGGTATTTTCGTTGGGTCAGATGGCCAATAAGTAGGAGAGCCTGTTGAAAGGAAAGAGTAATTAGTTTCTTGTAGGACTTTAGCAAGTTCTCTGCCTTTAGTAGTGGTGAGACGCGATAGGGTGTGCTTAGTCTCCTCCTGCTATAAATTTGGGCCCCAGATTGTGGAAGAATTCAGTAAAATGTTCTTTCTTGACATTATGGTGGGGAGGACAGTATACTGCAGATACTGTTATATCATAAGACAGTGTTTTGACTCTGACAGATGTTGCTTGAAGATATTCCTTTGCATATCCATTCAGCTGATAGTCATCAATCGTATTTTTTATTAATATTGCAGATCCAGCATGGGCTGTGTTATCAGGAGGGTTAGTATAATATAATTGGTAACCAGGGATTTTAAGGAATGACTTGTTGGTGAAATTGGTTTCACTAATTAACATGATATCAATGAATTGATCTTGAAGGAATATTTTTAGCTCTTCTCTATGTTGAATTATACCATTGGCATTCCATGTAGCAATTCTGAAGAATTTAGCCATTTCTCTTGCCTATTTGCGTTGATAGCATGTTTAGAACCATGCTATTCTGTTGTATG